GGACCCCATGCTTTTTATTAACACAATGTGTCCTGATGCAAGGCAGAGAGATACACTTCAAAGGGTCAAGGTTTGGTACAGAGTCCATTGTCAGAATGGGGGAATTAGCCTATGGCTGTTCAGGTGTTTGGCCAGTAGGAGGCAATAACATGTAGATTAAGATGCCTTTTAGCTGTGTGGCAGCCAAGAAATCAGTTTAATGTATCCTATTCAGGTTTGGGGAAATGCTTGCAGCCATTCCCAGATGCAGCCCTGCTGAACATACTGGAATTGGTCTCCGGCAGCCTGGCATGTAGCACTTACTTAGCAGTTTGTTGAAGTGAACTGCAAAGAACAGTTGAAAGCACACTAGGTTGTGTCAAAACACCAGGATTCTAGTCTCACTTCTGCCACAATCTAAGGTGATCACTTCCAATCTCTGAACTTTTGTTTCCTCATCGGAGGAATCAGAAATGTCTTTAAGAGTTGGAATGGACAAAAACTAACACCATTTCCCCCAAGAACAGGAACAAGACAGGGATGCCCACTCTCACCACTCCTGTTCAACATAGTACTGGAAGTATTAGCCAGTGCAATTAGACAAGAAGAAGAAATAAAAGGCATCCAAATTGGAAAAGAGGAAGTAAAACTGTCCTTATTTGCAGACGACATGATATTATACATACAAAACCCTAGAGACTCCATCAAAAAACTACTAGACTTAATACATGAATTTGGCAATGTAGCAGCAGGATACAATAACCCCAAGAAATCTAAGGCATTTCTATACACCAATAGTGAACTTTCAGAAAGAGAGACTAAAAAAACAATCCCATTTATTACCGCACCAAAAAAATTAAGCTACCTAGGAATAAACTTAACTAAAGAGGTAAAAGACCTCTACTCAGAAAACTACAGGACGTTGAAAAAAGAGATAGAGGAAGACATAAACAGATGGAAGAACATACCGTGTTCATGGATTGGTAGAATCAACATCATTAAAATGTCCATGGAAGAACACGTGTTCATGGATTGGTAGAATCAACATCATCAAAATGTCCATACTACCCAAAGCAATCTATAAATTCAACGCACTTCCCCCCAAAATACCAATGGCCTACTTCAAAGATCTAGAACGAACTCTCCAAAAATTCATCTGGAATAAAAAAAGACCCCGAATAGCTGCAGCGATCCTGAGAAAGAACAAAGTAGGTGGGATCTCAATACCAGATATCAAGATGTATTACAAAGCCACTGTTCTCAAAACTGCCTGGTACTGGCACAAGAACAGACATATAGATCAATGGAATAGAATAGAGAACCCAGAAATCGGCCCGAACCAATATGCTCAATTAATATTTGACAAAGGAGGCAAGAACATACAATGGAGCCAAGATAGTCTCTTCAATAAATGGTGTTGGGAAAATTGGACAGATATATGCAAGAAAATGAAACTAGACCACCAACTTACACCATACACAAAAATAAACTCAAAATGGATAAAGGACTTAAATGTACGACAGGAAACCATAAAAATTCTAGAAGAATCCAAAGGCAACAAAATCTCAGACATATGCCAAAGCAATTTCTTCACTGATACAGCTCCTAGGGCAGTTGAAACTAAAGAGAAAATGAACAAATGGGACTACATCAAAATAAAAAGCTTCTGCACAGCAAAAGAAACCATCAACAAAACAACAAGAAAACCCACTGCGTGGGAAAACATATTTGCCAACGTCATATCTGATAAGGGCCTAATCTCCAAAATTTATAGGGAACTCATACAACTTAACAAAAAGAAGATAAACAATCCAATCAAAAAATGGGCAAAGGATCTAAATAGACACCTTTCAAAAGAGGACATTCAGAAAGCCAAGAGACATATGAAAACATGCTCAAAGTCACTAATCATCCGAGAGATGCAAATCAAAACAACAATGAGGTACCATCTCACACCTGTCAGAATGGCTATCATCAACAAATCAACAAACGACAAGTGCTGGAGAGGATGTGGAGAAAAAGGAACACTTGTGCACTGCTGGTGGGAATGCAGACTGGTGCAGCCACTATGGAAGACAGTATGGAGTTTCCTCAAAAAACTGGAAATGGAACTCCCATTTGACCCTGTGATCCCACTTCTAGGAATATATCCCAAGAAACCAGAAACACCAATCAGAAAGGATATATGCACCCATATGTTCATAGCAGCACAATTCACCATAGCTAAGATCTGGAAACAGCCTAAGTGCCCATCAGTAGATGAATGGATTAGAAAACTGTGGTACATCTACACGATGGAATACTATGCTGCTGTAAAAAAGAAGGAACTCTTACAATTTGCAACGGCATGGATGGAGCTGGAGAGCATTATGCTAAGTGAAATAAGCCAGTCAATGAAGGAAAAATACCACATGATCTCACTCATTCATGGATAATAAAGACCATTACAAACTTTTGAACAATAATAGATACAGAGGCAGAGCTGCCTCAAACTGATTGCGGGGGAAAAAAGGAGACATATGTAATACCCTTTGTAATACTTTAAGCAATAAAAAAAAAAGAAATGTCTTTAAGAGTTGGAATTGCTGATAGTAAAATGTCCCCTTTTTTTCATAGATGTTTCCCAATGGGCAGCGCCATACCCACCCCCTTCCTGAATGTGCATTCATAGCTTCCTCTAACCTTCTCTAACCTTTTTCAAAGTCTTTTCCTATTGACTATTTCACTTGACCCTAGAAATAATTATGGAAGCCTGGTAAATGTAATTTCAAACAGGACGATTCTTCATTATGGAAGACTGAAGAATATGTGGTGGTGTGATAATTGAGCAAGTGCTGGGCAGGGGATTAAAGCAAGTTTTTTCACTAAATACCTTATATTGTTAGTCAGACTTTTGAATTATGTGAATATGGTATCTATTTAAAATCAAAGATAGTAAATACAACCAAATGAATGGCATTGTTTCCCATTTCAAATCCTTAAGAGCAGGTGAGTTATGGACCCAAGGCCCGTGGACAGATCACCCCATCCTGTAATTGCTGTATGAAAACCCTTCTGGCTAAGTGCACTTGCAAACAATCAAGAGCAATGAAGGCTACAAAGCACCACTGTAATTTATCTTCCAAGTGCCTTAATCAGGTTCACTCCCAGGCAGAAGAGCATAAAAATAAACCTAAATTTCATAGCATATGCCACACAAAAAAAGAGGTGAAGATTTCAGACCCTAATGTTGACCAACTGATTTCTACCTGTCATCTTGTAGCCCCTCACTATACAGTCTTGACATTCACCTAAGGAGATAAACTTAGTGGATGATCTCTGCCCAGAGGAACAGTGGAGAGATAACGGGCCTAAAACTCAGTAGATTTAGTGACAGATTTAGTAATGTCAATAAGTCTTCTGTATCCCTACCTGTACTACCTGCCCTTTCTTCCTTTCCAGGTTGTTCTCATAACTATCAATTAAATGAGGCCTGTGCAGCACTAAATGTAGATCAGAGGTTATATTAACTTTGCAATCATGACCATGGCTTTCATTGAAGAGTTTCATCATCACAAGATAGCACAATATAGAGTACTAGTGGCCTGGTACATGAAATTCATGCACGGGTGCGGTCCCTAGGCCTGGCCTGCAATCAAAGCATGAGCCTCTGGGTGGAAGGACAGGTCCCAGCTGACCTCTGGGCCCTGGGCAGCACCTGGGCCCCTGGGGACCTGCGTGACCCCCTCCGCCTGAGTCACAGCGCCCAAGTCCCCACTCGGAGTTTCAGTGAGTGCTGCCAGACGCCTTGGGCCAGGGCACAGCCTGAGCCTCTGGGCCCGCATGGAAGCCGGGCAGGCAGCACGCTCTCTCCAGGCCAGCCTCGCAGACCGGCTCCTGCACCCACCAGGAGCCCGATGGGCCCCTGAGGTCCTACTGGCTGCGGCCTGGCTCACCCAGAAGAGCCGGGTGGGTGTGGGGCAGCTTTCTCAGGGGAATCTGGCCCCAGCCCCCAGGTAGCCAGTGAGAGGTCATGCATCACCAACACCTGTCATGTTCCATGCCGCCCCCTGGTGGTCAGCGCATGTCATAGCGAGCAGGTGACCTCCCATTGGTTGAGGGGACAATTTACATATTAGGCTTTTATTATATAGGATAAGTGTGAATACCACCTCCTTATTCTGTAAACCCTGCCCAGTAAGATGAGGTTGATGAAAATCACACAGTGCAGGTGTTTGTCATAAGGAGAACAAATGTCAAAGTGGATAAAGGATGCAGATAAAAAATAATTTCATCTTCTCACCTAGAGGTCCTATGGTCACCTGAGGTGTTGATCTATAACAGGCTGAGTTTCACCTTTTCAGATCTTTATGTGGTTACTTTTAGCAGTGAACATGCAATGCTTTATTTCAAGTGGTCAGTATACTCATTTTTTTAAAATATTTTTTTTATTGATTTCAGAGAGGAAGGGAGGGAGAGATAGAAACATCAATGATGAGAATCATTGCTCAGCTGCCTCCTGCACACCCCACATGGGGATGAGCCGCAACCCAGGCACATGCCCTTGGTTGGAATCGAACCCGGGACCTTTCAGTCCGTAGGCCAACGCTCTATCCACTAAGCCAAACCTATTAGGGCTCAGTATATTCATTTTAATAAACATAATGATTGTTGCTGCTCTACCACTAAAAGAAAAATCAACACTTAAGCAAATATTATGTGTTAGATACAGAATGCATGAAAACTGAAAGGAAGTGCAGTCTCAGTTTTAAAAGCATCCTAACTGGAATTTTAAATAGTATTTGATTCACCCAGAAAAGGAACTAGAAAAAAATGTCTTTATCTATTACAATAGCAGCAACTACCATTTATGACACATTAGGCACTGGCATCGTAATAGGTGCTTGGTATACATTATGTCTATAATTTTACACGGCTCAGCTACCTTCTTGGGTTTTTTGTTTTTTTAAGTGATAAAGCTACCTTGGGTAGATTGCTTGATCTTGTGGAGTCGTATTTTAAAAAATAAAAAAGACCTTTGATTTTACTTTTTAACTTTTATTATGCATTACATAATATACTGCATAAACTTCTAGCAGGAGTAGATGAGCAAAACTGAGTTATTTTTAATTAATCAGGAAGTGCTTCCTTAGTCAATATTCTCCAAACCCTGAAAAACAAATTAAAAAGAAAAATGTGAGAATTCTGTTCCCGTCAAAGATGTACATGTACTCTTATTTCTAGTGTCACCAAATGGCATTCTGTTAGTAAAGTACTTTTACATCCCACATTTCTTTCACTGCAACAATAACTTAGACTGAATTTTATAATCACTAAAGTAAGAAAGAATAACTTATAATGACTTCTAGTTTTCATTTTCTTTTTTTAAAATGTTTTTATTGATTTTTAGAGAGAGGAAAGGAGAGGGAGAGAGAAACATCCATGAGAGAAACATCAACATCTATCGGCTGCCTCCTGCACACCCCCTACTGGGGATTAAGCCTGAAACCCAGGCATGTGCCCTGACCAGGAATCAAACCCGAGATCTCCTGGTGCATAGGTCCACGCAGCCACTGAGCGACACAAGCTGGGCTAGTTTTCATTTTCTGACAGCAGCAAACATACCACTTTATATGAAAAGACCTTCCCCCCACAATCAGAACTAAAGTCAAGCCAAGTATTTACTATCTGGATCCTTCTCTAAAGCACTCTGAGAGAGTCAGAGAACAGTAAGGTAAAAACCGTTGTATAAAATAATAGTCAACATGAGGAAAATACTATTAGCCTCATTTCACTTATTTTGACAGGTGAATAAAGGAGGAATGGCGAGGTTAAAAGTCGTTTAAGTCAGTAAGGAAGTAGCAGAGCCAGAATTCAAGTTCAAGGCCCCCCAACTCCAGAACTCTTGCCCTATGTAAGCATAACATGACACTAGTTATTCAGAAGACCCACTCTATCTAAATCAGTTCACAACCAAATACTTCAGAAATTATGGAGTAAAAGATTAGTGAATAGCATTTGTGGATTATAATGAACAACATAAACTGATGAACAAAAACAGATCCAGAGACAGAGAAGCATGGATCAGACAGTCAAACCTCAGAGGGAAGGTAGGGGAGGGGGGGGTAAGGGGGAGAGATCAACCAAAGGACTTGTATGCATGCATATAAGCCTAACCAATGGACACAGACA